CCTCAATTCTAGAGTAAGAGAAATGAAGGTAAGAATATATTTCAAGTTGTGCTCTTATGTAAGCAATAGGAAGTGGGAAAACGATGCTAGTATTTCTATTGTAATTCTGTGGCCAAATCCCTCTCTTGATTTAGACTTGGGAGGGTAGTCTATAAAGGCCAAGTTCACCCAGCTGCAACAGAACTTATTCCAAATCACCAGTTCTTCCTGACCCAGGGCTCCCTCCAACTTCTAAGAAATACAAGAAATGTGTTGCAAGTAATGACATTTCTGGCAAAATGGGACAAAACAAAACAACCCACCTCTCTAATTTCCCCGTTCTGCATTCTAGCAAGTTTAATAGGAAGGTTCAGAACATCACCAAAGAAAGAATATTCTCCAAGTGGGGGAAAGCAACAACATCTTATTTTAAGAAGGAAATGAGAAGTGTATGATTGGAGACTATGGTGGCAATATTTTCAACATCAGAACTAGGCATTTATAAGGAAACAGAATTCACACCAAGCATAAAGAATACAGGAGAACGGGGCACCTGGGTGGCTCAGTGGGTTAAAGCCTCTGCCTTCAGCTCAGGTCATGATCCCAAGGTCCTGGGATCGAGCCCCACATTGGGCTCTCTGCTCAGCAGGGAGCCTGCTTCCCCTTCTCTCTCTCTCTGCCTGCCTCTCTGCCTACTTGTGATCTCTGTCTGTCAAATAAACAAAATCTTAAAATAATAATAATAATAATAAAAAGAATACAGGAGAAAAACCCTTACCTTTAATGTGTACTTTTTTTACACTGGATTCATGTCATGAAAATATCTGAATGACTTTGGGCAAGTCACTTACACTTTATGGTCTTCAGTCTTTTCAAATATAAAATTACCATATGGATTGGTGACTTTTTGGGACTCCTTAGTGCTAACTACCTACTTTATTTTGGTAGCCCTACACGTGTTCAGTTTAAGTAGACATCAGGTGTATGGAATTGAATAAATAATAATCTTTAGTTCCTGATGCACCCCTGTCATGCATCCATGTAAGACTATATTGGCCACTAATATCAGGGAAATAATTACACAACACCAAAGCTAGAACACTGGCTTCTCCCTGTCTGGTATCCCTGTCTCTGTTCCCCTACCCTCTTATCCTCCAAGGTAAATCTGAATCTTATATGTAGAATTCTTATACTTTTATATTTGCATAGGTATATGCATCCATGTGCATAATACATATATACATATATTCACATACATATATATACATCATATTAAGTGTATTCCTATGATGTTTCATTGACATTCCTGTAGTATTTTATTTCTTGGCTTTAGTTGTTTCTAACTTCAAAAATAGCATCAAATGAAGTTAAGAGTATCATACTGAACTATGAGAATATATGTAAATGTATCATAATTCAGTATTATAGCATATTTAATCTTTTGAGACCTGTTTTTCACTTAAAAATAAATTGATAAACCCAACAGAAAGTGCACATATATTCACCAAAAGATATGTTCTAGAATGTTCACAGCCACACTGTTCATAATAGCCTCAAATAGCAACTGGCCAAATGTCCATCAAGTGTTACATCAATAAATACAATGTAACGTATTCATACAATTTAATATGGTACAGCAATGAAAATGGACAGTTCACAACAGCATACAGCGTAATGGATGACTTTAACAAACAAAATATTACGTGAAAAGAGCCAGACACAAAAAAGTATATGCAGTTTATTACAAGTTTATGAAGTTGAAGCAATAGCTGCCTTGGGTGGGGGACAGGGTGGCTAGTGATTGGAAGGTGATAGGAAGGGGACTTCTGGAGTACAGGTGATATCCTCTTTCCTGATCTGGGTGCTGGTTTAATGGATGTGGTCACTTTGTGAAAACAGCAACAACAACAAACACAAATCCACACATTTATTGTACCAGTTCTCGTTGATACCATCTCCAAAACTCAGTGACCTAAAACAGTACGTATTCAGTATTAGTCATAAGTCAGTGAGCTAGGACATTCTTCTGTTCTTGATTGGACTCATACATGTGTATAAGCTAAAAGCCAGGTACGCCACTCTGCTGACCTTGGCTGGACTGTCTTTCAAGCTTGGGGGTCAGCTGGCTTTAGGCCCGTCTAAGATGGCCTCAACTAGAACAACAGATCTCTCCAAATGACCTCTCGTTTGCCAGTAGGCGAGCTCAATCTTGTTCACATGCCGGTAGCAGGGTTCAAAAAGCAAGAGTGGAAGCAGAGGAGGCATTTTGAGAAAGGAGACAGTGTCCCTTTTGCCATATTATATTCACATACAAAAAGGACACAAGTGAAGAGTGAGAAAATGCAGTCTTTTTAAAAATCAACCTACTACCCTTATGGTATAAGCACTTCTCTCTATGTATATACTAATACATGTTTAAAAATAAAATTAATTATTTGTCTATACGATTTATCTACACTGCTGGTTGTGGCCCCAGTTTGCTATGACTTCTAACACTGTATTCCCTGAATATATTACAGTTTGTGTATCCACTCTCCTGTTAATGGGCATTTTAGGAATTTCCAGGGTATCACTGTTACAAGCAGATCTGCCATGAACATTCCTGCACATTTCCCCTAGTATGCAAACTCTGTTTAAGAGTTTTTCTTAGCTGTATACCAAAGTGTGGAATTGCTATGTCATAGGGAGTGTGAATTTTCAGTTTTGTAAAATGATACAAAATTGTTTTTCAAAGTAATTGTACCACTTTACACTTCCCTCAATAGTACATGAGAGACTCTTGAGGGACCATGAGAGACAATTGCCCACAGTTGATATTCAAGTCTGTCTTCTTACTATTTCCCATTTAGATAGATATAAGATGGTATACAGCATTGTGGTCTTTTCTGTCTTTCTCTGATGAAGTGAAGAAAATAATCATCCTTTCATTTTTTGTTTGTTGTTGCTTTGGTTTTAGCCGTGTATGTTTCTTAAGTAAAATACCTATTTGTATCTGCTGCTTTTTTTTTTCAGCTGGGTTATTTTTTCTTATTGCTTTATAGCAATTTTTATATATTCTCAATACTATGCTTTCATCTGATGTGTGTGTTGTGAACGTCTTTGCCAGTTCATAACTTGTTCCTTACTTTAGTCACAGTGTCATTGGGTTAACAAATTTTGTAATTTTAAGCACTTAATTTTTGCTCTAATGTTTAATGTTAGCTATTGAGGCTTGTTTAAGTAACTCTTAAATACCCCAAGGTCTGAAATATATTTATTTATACTTCTTCTAAAAGTTTTAAAGTTTTAGTTTTGGCTTTGAAATCTTTATCGGAATTTTATCTTTGGGCCTAGTGTGTGGTGAGGATCTAATTTCATATTTATTTAAATAGATGGCCATCTTTCAAAACTTTATCCATTAAATAATTTCTTTTTTTCCCCATTGGTCTGCCATGCCACCCTGTTCATGTATCAAAGTTCCATACATCTATGGGTCAATTTCTGGGCTACCTCTTCTATTCCATTGGTGAACTTGTCTATCCTGTGTCTGCACCAATCTCTTGATTACTGTAACTCCATAACACAACCCGTGTCTGATAGGTTGTCCCTCCCTATTCCTAACTGGCTCATGCACTTCTGAGGCCAGCAGTTAGGAAGAGTGAGCTCATTTTTGATTGGCTCAGTAACTGTAATTCATCTTAAAGAAACACCAAATCTGCAACTTCCTTTGTCAGCATCCTCTGCTGACAAATAGAAAATACTTCAAAATAGCCCAGCCTACACTTGTTCAGCTTTCTATCCACATCATGAAAATCATAGCAAGTATCTCTAAACCCATGATTCTCAAACTTGAATATACATATGAATTACCTGGAGATCTTGTTAAAAATGCAAATTCTGATTCAGTGGGTCTGTGGTGAGTAGGAGGCAATACTGCTGGTCTTAAGACCACACTTTGAGTATCGAGGCTTTAGGAAGTGATTTTATGCCATACAGCTGAGTTGGAGAACTTTTTCTTCTAGAGATGGCCTTCTAACTATCTTTTGAAGACATTCTGAATTTTTTACCTCAGTCTCCTGTTAATTCAAAAATCTTTCTTGTTTCTTGTTGAGTTCTTTTTTTTTCCAGTATAGACTCAAGTTGAAGTCTATTAGACCAAGTAAAATATTTTCAAGTTGAAGTCTATTAGACCAAGTAAAATATTTTCTTGCAAAGGTTATGGATTATGCAACTGAATAAAAAAAATTCCCTTTGTTCCTCTTTTATCCTACAAAAAAGCTCCTACCAACTTTTTATTCTAGCAAGTCATTGAGGGAATATAAATATGTAGGCTTCTTGCTTGTGCTTGGAAGGAGAGGAGGTCATTATACATAATTGGAGGTTGTTGTTTAAGAATAACTGAGTTTGAATTCTGACTTCGTTATTTACCAGCTGTGTCACTTATCCATCAAATAATAATAGTACTTACATCCTAGAAGAATGGGAAAATTTAAAGAAGAAATCCCCAGAGATAATCTATGCCTGCCGGTTAACCTAGTACCCTGCATATAATAAATGTCCAATAAATAGTCATAGTCATTACAGAATAGTTACTAAAGGCCTAGTGGAAGAAAATCCTTGTGCTTAAGGCATTGGTTATCAGTTTGTTTTATGTGTGGTAACTGTAGACTTTGATTTCATAGAATAACTCAGAGTCAAGTCTCTCTACAGTAATCCACAATTCCCAAATGAATAATACTCACTGATTCGGCAATCCATCTTGCATGACTAGCTTGTGTCATTATAGAATTTTGCCTTGGCTCACCAATGACATATTTTTGTAAGTTTCTGACCCTTAAGAAGCAACTTATATACTAATCAAGATTTCTCAAACAACTCCCTAGAGCCAATTATATACATCAGTATGTGCTCAATAAATATTCATTCCTCAATTCAGTGCTTACTTGGAGTAATCCACATACCTCCACAGGGACCCAGGTTGGGTGAATTAGGAAAAGCATCTTAAGGCTTATTCTCTTCAAGAAGTTGGTATATTATCAGTGCATTCATAGTTGTTTCTTGAACATGATTTTCCTGATGTTTTAAGAGAACTCACAAGAAGAGTTCATATATTGATAGGATAATCATCAATGAGTTTCCAAGTTCAATTAGAAACTAATTCCAACCAGTTGCTTGACTTTCAACACATTATTTTGACCTCATAGTAGACCTAACTTTCTTTTTTTTTTTTTTTTTAATTTTATTTATTTATTTGTCAGAGAGAGAGAGGGAGAGAGCGAGCATAGGCAGACAGAATGGCAGGCAGAGGCAGAGGGAGAAGCAGGTTCCCTGACGAGCAAGGAGCCCGATGTGGGACTCGATCCCAGGACGCTGGGATCATGACCTGAGCCGAAGGCAGCTGCTTAACCAACTGAGCCACCCAGGCGTCCCAAGACCTAACTTTCTTGAAAGAGTCCATACCATCATGGTGTCCATCTTTGACCTGAGAGACAAATTTGTAATTATATTCTGTTATATGGTTTCCAGTTGGTGACTGATTTATTAACTAAATATTAGAAATAAAAATAAATATTCTAAGGGAGGAGGAGAAGAAGGTGACAAAACTTTGTGGATGAGTAAAGGGGAAAGAAAGCCAAACTGCCAGTTCTCTTCTGGCTGTATTTTAATCCAGAAGACTATATTTTAAATCAGGTTTCATGTCTCAATCAGTGACATTTCTACTTGAAAATATTAATTGCATTTGGATCACAAGTATGAAATGCAAACATACTTGTATAAAGCAAACAATTTTAATTTGTGTATTTTTATTAGTGACATTTGATCAAGGCACAGGAACTGTTAGTAAAGAACCATGCACTTATTCTGTTTGTTTGAGGCATAAATGGTGGAAAAGTCACTAACTGGTGAGATGGGTCATTTTCTTTGAGACAGAGCATTTGATTAAAAGGCAGTCTAAAGAGAAAAAAATGCTAATTAACATTTTAGTTATTTAAAGAAGCATTGAAAATACACATTTTGACAGTTAGATATTAAATATTTATTTTCAAGTAAAAGCCTTTTCCTTTAAACATGGATTCATTATATCTCTGGTATTATTATTCAATTTTTATGCAAAAGCAATTTTCTTGAAGATATTGCTATATTTTTGCTATTAAGTCCAGTGCTGTAACAGAAAACATTGGGTCTTCTTCTGATGGAATAAACTCTTTTTGAATATGCTCAGTCTACCACACATTATTTATTCATCTCAGTGTTCAGCATAATTTTTTCTTGACAGCCTTTCTTTCGCTTGAAATGTTATGTAACAAAAACAGCAGAACCAATTGGCATTTGAGTTTATCCCTCTATTCCATATGCTGCTGGATGAAGAGGAAATAAATGTGCAGCATCACTATGCTGGGCACATTTCAGCCTTTCTTTTCTCTGGTACATCAATTTCTCTTCTCACAGAAATAATTTCATAGCATTTTGAACTCCTGTTATATTATATATGACCACTGAGATGAAGGTCTGTACAGCAAGGGCCAAAGGATAGCCAAATTCAAATTTACTTGGATTGCTGCTTGACTTTAACTGCTGTAAGGCCAGGTAGAGCTATGTAGATGTAGAAAGGAATGTGCATTTTTCAACTTAAATATAGGCATTGGATGATTGACAATAGATCTTCAGCTCAAGTAGTTTATAAGCAAGTCACATAATATCAACATGCATCAGACACTGGGACACAACCATATGAAAATCGCTGCAATTTGCACACACCTAAAATATGTCAGCTAATAAATTCAAACTAAGTTAATGTCATAGTTTGGGTTCCCCCAGAAGCAGACCCCAGGACAGGGATGTGAGTACAAGGAGTTCTTCTGAGAAGTGGGAGATATATCTCATTTGGGATCACTTCTCAGAAACACTCCTTGTATTCCCATCCTTGCTTCAGAGTCTGGTACATCTGAAATTAATACAACAGTGTATGCTAACTATACTGGGATTTAACTAACTAAATAAATACCAAATAAAAATGATTAGACATGATCCCAGGAAACTAGTAGGGAGCAGGGAAGTGAAGTAGGAAAGCGAAGGCAGCCAATAGAATGTGTGTTTATTATCAAGTAAGTTACAACTGTGGGCAACTGGTGCTCAGGCCTAATAGGGAACTCTGGAGGACCATTCAGAACATTCATCTTACCGTTTTTCCATCCAAGGGTTAGGGAGCTTGGGTATACATATGCCAATTCCTGGGTGCCACTTCTAGTAGAGAAAGTGGGCAGTTGGAAATACGGCAGTCGGTACTGAGTGGTTATTCTGCAGAGTTCTATGCTGGACAATTAAAGTCACTCCTATAGCAAACCTCAGAATTGAGTGAAAAGCCCCCCAAGATTATACTGTTATAGCCTTAATCATTCAACTTTTGATGGCATTGGACCCAGTGCTTTGTATCTGATGTACGTACCTCGACAACAGTCAAGTGTTTTTAGGCTTACAAAATAATTCCTAATCTGACACTCCTGTCTTGGCAAAACTTAATAATTAAATATATGAATAATTCTCAACAATCCATGGATATAGGAATCATCTGCAACTTCTTCATGTTCTAAATCAGAGGTTCTCAAACTTTGGGATTCATCAGAATCAGCCATGAATGATACCCACCGATGATTGAGTCCTCACACCCAAAGTTTCTAAATTCAGTACATTTGGTGTGGGCCTGAGAACTTGCATTTCTAACAAGATCTCAGGTGTTGCTGATGTCCTGTGTAACTGCACACACTTTGCTCACTGCAAACTGCAAACTGCCCTAATCGTTTTGGTGTTTATCTTATTACAGAAAGAAGTACGATCTTATATTTTTCCTTTTTAAATTATTTTGTAATGTAATTAGATATGCACAGAGAGTAGGCAGAAAGTGACACAGGTGGGCCCTTCATAAAATTTAGTGGTAGTCAGCTGGACAGGTGTGCAAAAGGACAGGAGTTTAGTGATGTCCAGTACTTAGAGTCTCAGGTAGTTCCTACTCTGTGACACCAAGAACAGGGAAACTCTTTTGTGCTATTATTGCATGTTGCTTGTAACTTTATCTTGGTACTCATCTCAGCATATCACATCATTGTTTTAGGCTTCATATCCTCCCACTGGTCTGGGGACTTCTTGAAACTAAAGCTATGTCTCTCATTCATATCTCTATGCTTAGTATTAGTCACAGTGGCAGGTAATGGAAAGGACTCACTACATTTTAAACGAATGAGTGAATAAATCAATGAATGTCTGAGAAAGTAAAGGCCAAAGAAACGAGTAAATGTAGAGACTGAGCCATGAAACAGTGGCATTTGCCATCCAGTCCTGTACTGCATGTATCAGGTTGTGTTCCATGATTTGGGATAATGGTGGCTCTCTGGCTGGCAAGGCCAACCAAGAACGAGAACAGACATGGGAGAACCTACTAGACTTTCCAACACCAGTAGATTTCCCTGAAGATATTTATTCCTATTAAGTAAGGATGACTATGATCTGTCAGAAGGGCTTTTAGTCCTCCATATTGGATAATCTGAAGAAATCACCCAAGTTTCTGGAAGCAGCCACAGGGTTGTACATGCCAGGGGACTGTCAGTTGATGGGAAGGTAGAAGCAGAAAATGAGATTTAGCTGACTAGCTCTGCCTTGTTATCTAAGCAAAAGAAAAAGGAATCATATTTTACCACTGATTTGCAATAGTACTTAATTCAAGTCACCTTCTGCTGCCTTTACGGGAGTAACTTTATGATAGCCACACACTATAGGTTCCATAGACACTTTTAATCCAGTGATAACAAGAGAAGAAAAGGGAGATTTTTTTTCATGCCTGCATTTTCCTTGTAGAAGAGAAATAGATCAAGAGTGATGGAAAGTAATAATGCCTCTGGGTTTCATAACACTAGCTCTTTCTGTCTTATAGCTATAAAGTGCTCAAGATTTATTGTTAGGATTATTCTCTAATGCTACTTTAAATTCATAATAATCAAATGAGCCCCCAAGCAACTTTAAGAGGCTATCTTTATGGTATAAAAATTGGCTAATAAAGATGAATCATAAATAAGAGAAACACTTATAATATCTACATATATGTTCAGCATTCCCCTAAACTCAATGTGAATCGTGCAACAGAAATTATTGATGTAAGAATGTATTGGTTAGCATAACATTAGCTGCTGTGACAAACAGTACCAAAATGTCACTTGCTTCATACAATAGACTGTTATTTTTTTTTCATGTAACAAAGTCCAGTCTGGTTGTAACAGTCTTTCTGGTTGGCGGATAGCATGCTAATTCAGAGGACCAGGTTCTTCTCATAATGTGACTCCACCATCTGCTAGGCCCTTGCAGGAAAAGGGAAAGAAACAGTAGATACCTCGAATGCCTCTAAAAAGTCCTGCCTTGAACTCTAGAGGCAAGAACTGGTCAAACGGCCAATCCTGGGTGCCAAGACAGTGAGAAGGTCTTGTAGCAGACACAGGCAGAGCAGACACCATGGGAAAAGGAATGTTTTGGGGCATAATTCGTCATTTTCTGCACTGTTGACCAAGATAATGGAATTCAAATCTGCTATACCTAGAATTACTCTAAATCAACTGCCCCTTTTACAAGACCTCAAAGATAAAGACAATGGAGTAACCACTTTGTGTTCCAAATCACCTTTGCAGAACTCTTGAAAAAAAGGGATCCATCAGCAGAAGGATCTAGACTAGAAGAATTTTAAAAAAAGACATTTGTATCAAAACACTTTGCAGTTAGGTTTATCAGATTTCCCATTCCAAACCCTATGCATTTAGCACAGTCACCTCACCACAAGTTGGCAAATGAGGAAATAGGAGAATAGGCAGATATCCCAGATTATTCAGCAAATACCTTCCAGAGGAGCTAAGTGAAGTGTCTCTGCCTTCCCAGTGATTGGTGTCTTATCAAAGGTTCAAGATACAAACACCATGTAGTTATGTTTACATTTATTCAGCAAAGAGGGTGAAGGCCAGTCCTAAAGTAGAGAGGCCTCAGGAGACTTTTAGATCAAGTCCAAAGGCAAACCCGTGGAATACACTACCTAGCTATTTCAGAGGTTGTAAATTGACTTGCACGGTATTGTTGTTGTTGTTTTAAGTTTATTTATTTTTTTTAGTAATCTCTACACCCAATGTGGGGTTTGAACCCATGAGCCCAAGATCAAGAGTCACAGTCTCCTCCAACTGAGCCAGCCAAGCACCCCAGACCCACACAGTGTTTTATACATTTCTAACCTGGGTGCCAACACCGACAAACAGGAAGACGTAACATGAAAATCCAGATCGCTACCATCTTTTGAAAAAACTCGGAGGTAGCAACCTCTGGCATACACGTGGCAGCAATCTAGGTGGCAAGATTGGGTGGCTGCTCTTTGTAGCGGAGGAACGCCCTCTGTGGTCACCACATTCCCGCCCAGCCCCAGACACTCATTTACCTTTTTACCTGGTTCTGCCTCAG